GTTTTTATAAAGATTAATATATTAACTATATCGTTTTTCTGTAGTTCGGCTTTTTGAAAAATTTGGTTCAAATGATCGTCGGAGAGAGGAATTTTAGTAAATTCGGTATTTTGAGTATTAATTAGGACTATGTGACTTCAAATTTGTATTAAAGGTAATTTTTTGTGAAATTTTTTAAGTTTTGTAAATTTGTAACTAAATAATTTTTATCAAATAGAGGGTAAAGTAAAATTTGAATCAAGTCTTGATAGGCAGCCATTGCTAAAAAAGAAAAAATTAAAATTAAAATTGAGTTTTACATAGTTAAAATTTACTAAAATTGAAATATTTACATATCATATATTTTATAACCTACAAAAACATAGCCATAGTTGTAAAGTTATTAAAGATACCGAATTGATTTTCTTGATTCCAAGTTAAATTGAAATTTGTACTATCAAATATCTCTGCTGAATTATCAATATCTGTATGAAATATTTCATTTTTACTTTCTGAATTAGTGTCATAAAATATATCATTATGTTGTGTATTATCCTAGCTTAAATCATCATAATTAGACTCTTCAAAGTTTTCATCAATATAACTAAAGTTCAAATTTTCATATTCCAAACTTTGAAATTCACTTGAATTATCTTGAGGTTTGTTGTTACTATCTCGTGATATAGAAAAATCATATAGATCATCCAAAATTGTTAAGTTATTTTTATTATTAGAAGATTGATTTTTTGTAGTTTTAGGTACTCTTATGCAAAATTCTAAAGGTTCAAATTTATCTAATTGTAAAAGCTGATGTCGAGACATCAGAAAAAAATTTTGTATCAGATCAAAGATTAAAGTAGTTCAAGTTTTAGTATTTATATTAATCACCTGATTTTCCAATTTAATCTTAAGACTTATATCAATTTGATGTAATACAAAAATATAACAATATGTCAAAAAGCCACAACTAACATTTGCTATCATAACATTTATAATATTTGACTTGTGCTGTAACATTCGACTTATATAACTATGATACGCAAAAAGCTATTACTAACATTTACTATAACATTTGACATGTATTGCAATATTTAACTTATACTAGAATATTTGACTTGTATCATAGCATTTGATATGTATTGTAATATTTAACTTGTTCTAAAATAATTAAATACCTTATCGTGAAACATCATTATAAAGTAGATTTATTACTATTTTTTTACGATACAACTTTTATATTATTTTTATATTGCCTAACTAAATTATAAAATTTAACTATTTCGTCTTTACTGTGTTATGACGATTTTGATATGATGACATGTCAGTTAGACTCTAAATATTTGCATCTATACTTTTATATGAACTATATTAACCAATTAGATTACTAGAAATAACTAGATATACTTATTCGTTATATGCACTGTGCATTTATTATGACCGATTCAACTTTTTGGTAGTATTGATATAGCGATAGGTAGTAATTCTGATCATATTAAGAATAGTATATCATCATAAGGCTGTTTGAATTTAAAAGTTTGTTTAATGTTTTTTCCCTCTACTACTGGATCTTCTTCAACATTAAACAAGCCAATAGAAAATGAGTGTAAAAAATTACAAAAAAAAAACTAGGTATAAATGAACACAAAAAATCAGGTATATTTGAACCTAATTTGGTCTGTTTAATTTTAGTGTTTGTTTAATTTTTCTTCTCTCTCCTCAAACAAATATGAAAAAAAGAATGTTAAATGAATCTTTAAATTCAAATAGCCTAATTATAGTCATATGAAGTAAATCGTACAGTAAATTATAATTCTGTGATTTAACAAAAAACGAATTCGTTTTTTGTTATATTTAATAATAAACTAAAATAATTGATATACAGATACTAAACAAGCTATGTACATACATACTAGAAATGGATATTATCCTGCTTACCCAAATTCAGTTTATCCCTGTTCAAAATCTGAACAGGTTTAACTCGAGTTTTTGATTATGTGAATTTAATTATATAAAAGTAATTATATTGTACTCGATTGAGTTCGAAATCGATTTTAAGAGCAAAAAGCTTCAATTGAACTTTTAAATAAAATAATTACATTTGTTTTTTAAAAAAATTTAAATCAAATTTTTAATACAGTAAATAGAGAGTTTCAAATTAACATGCTTGAAAAGCATAGTTTATAGTACATGTATACAAACAAATTTAAAGCAGTTTAAAGCTCAATATTTATGTCTGTTTCTGAACAGTGTTAGTTCAAGTTTCAAAGCATGAACTAACCAATTTAAGTAGGATAACATCCCTAGTATATACATATGTACAGTGTTATATATTTTGGCATGTCCAAAGCTTTTTTGTACATGTCCAATGTTCAAATATCCAAGTGTCTAAGATGTCCAAGCTGTCCATAGCCTTAAATATTTTTGGTAATTAAAATAAAAATTATATGATTATATTCTTTGTTTAATTCTAAACATTTTTGCTTAAGAAGTTTAAATAGGTTATCTTAATAAAATTTTGAGTAATTTCAGTTTATTTTTTTGTCCAAATGTCTAAGATGTGTTCAAAAGCTATTCAATGACAATACTGCATATGTACATATGTAAGTTTATATATATATTATTTTATAATATAACACATATCATATTTGAAGCAACAATACAGCAAGTATTATTACATGCAGTGACATATTTCTGAGTTGTAATTGTTAGAGTGCGTCAGCACTACTATTACGCTAAAAAAAATTCACTAATTATGATATAATTAGTGATTATATATTATACTTTAAATTAATAAATATAAAATTTATATATTATTTTAAAGTTGATTATTTATTATTTCTTAATTTTCAAAGATACGAAAAACTAGAGGTGGAAGAAAAGCAAGTACTAAAGGAACGAAAAAACAATATATTACTAGTAATTATTTTAATTATTATATTTTTAGCAAGATAATATTAATTTGTTATATTATCTTAGAATCTTTCAAAGAAGAAATTTCTCAACTATCTAATAAGCGTTCAAAAAAGACAACTAATGAAAGTGGTAAATTTTCTTTTTTTTTTTTTTTTTTTTTTTTTTTTTTTACAAAATCTTATGAATTTTTTTAGAAAAATGTAGCGAACTTTCTTGTGTTCTATTTGAACTGATTAATTCAAATACTATGTTAACTAGTAATGTAGTTTAGCCATATTAAGACTTTGCTTATAGTTATGTGCTAACTAGTTTGAAGCAGCCAAGATCATCGTATGCTATTGACCTAGCATTAATCTATAATCAAGATTATACTTCACCTAATAACTCAATTCAATTCAACTTTTCTAATACTTATCTATCAAGTGAAGGCACAAATAGATCTCAAGCTTCAATATTATTTCATAATGCAAACACTAATTCAAATCAAATTAATAACTCTGAACATAGACTCATGATGTCTAGAAATCTTATTAGACCAGAACAACAACATAAAAGTTCATCGCAATTATCTACTATATTATTAGATGATATATTGAATTCATATTCTTCAGCAGGTTATAATCTAACTAATCGAAGTCAAGAATCTTTATATCAACAAAATTCTCATAGTAAATATAAAGAAAAAATTTTAAACCCAAATTCACAATTTCATATCTCAAATTTATCACATGATATGGCTACTCAGGAACCTGATATTACCAGTAATTTACAATTTCAACATACTAATATAGCTACTCGGAAATTTAATATTGCTAGTAATTTACAATTTTAACATACTAATACAGCTACTTGAGAACCTGATATTACTAGTAATTTACAATTTCAACATACGGCTACTTAGGGATCTGATTTTACTGATAATTCAGAAGAATTAAATTTTTCCAATGAGAATTCATTAATTAATTAGTTACGTACCTGACTGGATTTGATTACCAAAGTACAAAATTCAGCATCATCACTATATAAGGTTAGTTCTCTAGTTGAATCTAGTAATACGTATTCAATTTGGTTTTTTTCTAATACTGTTATTAATATTTACAAGAATAATGAAAGTAGTATTTTAGAACTAACAGACAAAGAACTGATAATAAATTTAGTTATGGAACAATGCAAACTTCTATTTTTGCATATACGGAATCCTACTAAAAAGATATGTGAAATACTTATTAAGAAGATTGTACTATTAATGGATTTTATATCTAAAGAATTTAAACAATTGTTCAGAAAAATACATGAATACTTTGATAATTTTTGGCATACATTTAATAAGGATATAGCCTCTCTTGCTAAGGACTTGCTAGTTAAAAATTGGTAAATTCATTAATAATACAGAATAAATTTCAATATACAGTGTAATCTAAACTATTCATAACTATTCTTTCTATAGTAATCCAACTAATGAAAATATCGAGAAGTTTGTTGCTGGTAAAGTCTGGTAACAAAAACTTATCAAATACCTTGATGCTTGTGATTTTTTAGAATTTAAAAAATTTTCATCTTTGCTCAAGTCTCTTGAAAGCTTTGTTGCCAAAAGTTTAAAAATCTATATCGAATATCTGATCGCAGTTCATAATTAAGAAAAACCATCCTATAGTAAAGATGTTTTGACAAAAATTAAAAAGCTTGATCAACTTACCTTTCAATTAACTATTCCCTCAGCAAGTCAATGCAACTATGTAAATAAATTGGAACTTAATCAAACTGGCATAGAATTATCTTTAGATAATGAATAATGTATTACTTTTATAAATTATCTGAGTACTCAATTATAATACTATAAAATTTAAAATAGTTAAAGTTATGCAAAATGTAAATTCTTCTAGTGGAATTTTTCTAACAAAATGACTTATTATTCCAACTGACTGTATTGGCAAATAAATAAAGTTTAATAAAATACAAATTCTTATAGATTCACTTCTCAATAATAACTTAGTCTATTTTGATTCATAACCGATTTAGTAAGTATAAAGATTATTTTATTAATCTATGTATTTAAATTCAGAATTCAAATTCTGACATATTCTTTTCAAATTTCCTCTATTTCTTAAATTATTTAAAAACTACAATACAAAAAATACTAGAAGGCATATCATCAATATTTTGAAATTCTAATTGAACATTTATAGCCTAACTAGAGCTTCGTATTCATTATTCGAATAATGTTTGCATTTGACAAATATTCGAGTAAATAATTATCTGATGAATAATTTAAATAAACAAACTTATTCGAATAAGCAAATTTATTAGAATAATTTTTATTATTAGCTGCTTCATATTCAACAACTATATCTGATATGTTATTCGAATAAAATAATACTTACTAGTATTTGAATAATTTATTTAAATAAAGAATCTGTAAGCTCTAGGCTGACCTATGTGACCAAAGTCTGATTTTTGCATACTTGAAAAGTTCAAAAGGTGGCATATAAAAATTCAGGCTTATATAGTTATAGTAATTGCGACTAGTATTTAGGAATATACAAAAAAAAAGTAATTATAAATTTTTATTGTAAACATTTTTATTTTTTGAAGAATTGATCTAGTAGTTTTAAACTTAAATTTTTAGTCAATTTAATATATTTTATTTCATTTGAATAGATTTAATATTTTTTAAAGTAATAAGGTCTGGCGATCTTAGTGTAGTGGTTAGGTTGCCAGACCGCCATGCAAGAGGTCTAGGGTTCAAATCCCATTGTCGACGAATTTGAATAATTACTCGGACCTTTGTACCCAACTTACGGTAAACTCTGCCCGTTTCTAGGGGTTACAACCCTGTAAATCACGTTGCACCAATGTCAATCAGACATTGGAAGTATGACGCAATGCTCGAGTTACATTACGTGAATAAATCTTGATAGAATCTACGGGCAGGAGACCTGCATAGTAGAAATCCCGAGTTTGGTGAAGTAGTACGGATTTTGACGGTCAAGCTGGTTAACGCCTGATCCAGTGAAAAACCTGAGTACGAAGGATGTGAGATCGATAGGTGCGAGTAAGTCCATTGTGTAACGCAGCCTGGTGCCTTGCATTAGCGACAACACCAACTTGGCTTGGCAGCTAACTAGATTGGAAAGATCTACCTTGTGAAACATTCGGCTGGAACTTGGAGGACTATATCTGGTGGACGGCCACGGCAGGAACTGGGTTCGTATGAACATCGACAAAGGTCTAATTCAGGTGAATCTGTGAAATGGACACATGACCACTCTGGTAGGAATTACTTCCGAGGTTAACCGGAGCTCTGCGGCTCACAATACGTTGGGCATACACATCCCGAGAGGACCTAAGCTGTGCAGAGAATAGATCCACAGGTGAACCGGCTGGCTTAAGCAGTTGGTCATAGTAGTGACGTTAGTTTGAGATGGGGGGAAGGGTTAATGATCAGAGTGTTTAAATAGGTAAC